TTAGTTATAATTTAGCCGATATAAATCAAATTCAAAAATTAAGCAAATTTCATAGAATAATTTCGTTTTTTAAATTTACAAATAAATAAATAAATAGGTAAATAAATAAAAAAATAATCAAAAATAAAGAAAAAGAAAAGGTCTTAATAATCTGTCAATCCATTAGTAATTTCGTTTTATTATCCATAATTTGTAAAATTTCCGCCACCGCCTTGTATGCGGTACTACTAATAATATAACATAATCATAATCCCCGTTCAGATTGGACCCGAGGGGTTGGGAGCCCCATTTTATAGCTACAAAACGGCGTCCCCAAGGTGCCCTTCTTACAAGTTGGCAGAACCCAACGTTCACCGAGGAAGGTTTTTGTTACAAAATGGCAGTCCAAGCTAACCCCTAGTTACAAAATGAGTCACCAATTTTGCTCGACTCGCATCCGCTCGCATCCGTTGGCTCGATTTGCCCTTTACAGAATGGTGGGGACTGGGGGTAGCTATACTCGCACTATCCTAGGATCCCTGGGAAGTAACCTGCAACAGCCCGGCCAACCCGAGTCGCGGTTCATTTTTTCCGTTCTTTTGCGTTCATCCGTCTGTTTTGGCGTAACGCTGTCTGAGTGGCCAAGCTAAATATTAAATACAACGTTGGATGTCATAATCAAAACATATAAATATATATATATATTATCTAACCCCTAGTTACAAAATAAGTCACCGATTTTGCTCGACTCGCATCCGCTCGCATCCATTAGCTCGATTTGCCCTTTACAGGTGGGGACTGGGGGTGGCTATACTCGCACTATCCTAGGATCCCTGGGAAGTAACCTGCAACAGCCCGGCCAACCCGAGTCGCGGTTCATTTTTTCCGTTCTTTTGCGTTCATCCGTTTAAATGGCCAAGTTAAACATTAAATACAACGTTGGATGTCATAATCAAAAAATATAAATATATCGATATATATATATATATGTATATATATATATATATTATCTGACCCCTAGTTACAAAATGAGTCACCGATTTTGCTCGACTCGCATCCGCTCGCATCCATTGGCTTGATTTGCCCTTTACAGAATGGTGGGGACTGGGGGTGGCTATACTCGCACTATCCTAGGATCCCTGGGAAGTAACCTGCAATCGCCCGGCCAACCCGAGTCGCGGTTCATTTTTTCCGTTCTTTTGCGTTCATCCGTCTGTTTTGGCGTGACGCTGTCTGAGTGGCCAAGCTAAACATTAAATACAACGTTGGATGTCATAATCAAAAAATATAAATATATCGATATATATATAATAATATATATATATAATATAATAATATATATATATATAAATATATATATATATCATATATATATATTTAAATAGATGTGACTCATCTCGAGCATTCATGACCACTCAGACGCATCAGACTTTTCAAGGCTTCTCCCAAGCCCTGCACCCAAGGCTATGAAAATTATTCTGCGATTTTTTGATTCCATCCAGTTTGTAGGGGCTATAGTTGAGTATTATCCATTTACGCTTTGAATCCATCCAATTTGTAGTGGTTATTGATTAGCCCTCCAGACTCCGACAGAATGGTCGGGACTGGAGGGTAACAAACTCGCACTTCCAATGCAAAATTCCGGTACCAGGGGGGGGTCCACTTACAAGATGGCAGAACCCAGGGTCAAAATTTTGCACAAAATGGTAGCCAAAAACCATTCTGTAACGGCCCTGAGGCCTCAGATTTAGTAACAAAAATTTCAACGGGTATTAATCATATATCATAACTATGATTTTTTTCCCGGATTCAGATAAAATTACCTTTATCGCATATCTGCAGGATTCTGCCTTTACTTAATTATAATTAATTAATTTTTATCAAATTTGTAGCTAGTATGCGGCTCTTTTAGTTAGAGCTACTGGAACCACTATCCCACCCTGTGTGGTTCCTTTGTTGTATCCAACAACGCAGACTCCATGACCCATATCCCAATTGCTGCTACCAGCTGGAAGCAAATAGCGCTCTTGCGTTTTCGAGCGCGATAAATGGACCAGTGGGCAATTGCGTACTCTTGGGGCAATTATCTGGCGCGGATCTACCTCCAGAACTACGTTTAGCCTAGCCGCCAAAACGGAAACACATTTGTTTTCATATGTCTTCACAAGTCATATTTGTAATGCTAACCACAAAGAAGATAAAGCGGCGACGCAGCTCAAAGAGATTTAGAAAAAGTAAGGCTACTGTGGAGTTGCCCAAGCAGGGCCGGGAACAACAGGTGGAAGAAAGCAAGAGGGAAAGAAAGCATTGGGCCTGACTATGTTTCACTTGACTGGCCATTTTAAAATTTCTAGTGCCACACTAGTGCTACCCTAGCACTAAGCTGCAGGAAAGCGATTTCACTGCATATGTGCAGGACTCCGCCTTCTGAAGAAATCTAAAATACATCATTGCTCAAGTACTGTATTTATGTCCTTCGCATTTGAAGGTTCCTTCTGGCATTTTAGAGCGGATCTCTTATATAATTATAATATCTATTTACTTAATTTCATACATATATAATATATATGATAAATATTAAATATATCTATAATGTTTTATGATTATTATGCTTTCTTAAATATCAAGGAAGGATTTTTTTTCTAGCTGCAGTCCCCTGATATTTCCATGGAATATAAAAAATGTCTGTGATACAGATATCTATGAAAAGAATGATAAGCAATTAGAATGCTTATTTGGCAACAAAATTGCATTGATCCACATATTGCTGCTTTTTGAATGATGGCTGATGGCTGAACAAAGTCAAACGAAAAGATGAGGCATTCTGCCACCCCTTCCTTGCTTTCGTCCACTTCTGCAGTATATACCACTTGGGCATCAAGGCCCGCACGATTTGCTGCAGCAATGAACGCCTTGCACGGCGGCGGGGAGCAAGTTTCAAGTGACATGTTCAGAATTCAGAAGCCATCAAGCACGTCATGTTTCCTGCTGCTTGACTTGACATAAAAGTTTTGCCGTGTTGAAAAGATCTGACAACAAATTGAAGGCAGAATTCCTGACTGTGCGTTGAGGTGCTAAAAAACTGAGAGCAAGTTGGAAGCGTTGGTAGTGGTGGGAAAATCAGGAAAGCGCAGGGCGCAGCGGCCTCGACTTCGTTTTTCCGGCGTGACACACATATCAGGGCCCGCTTGCCACACGCACGGGCAGTGGCCAACAGCGCATCCTAAGGCTGAAAACTGGCTACGATGGGGCTGTGCGGGATTTCTTTCAAGCGACAAGCGAGATATCTGTGGCCTAGCTATTAGTCTGCGCCACACAGGTTCAGAACAAAAATACCTTCAAACGAGATGCACCGCAGTTTGTCCGGTTGGTGGTGTGATCAGAGGTCCAAACGCAGCTACAGCTACGTCATCATGATGCCCCAACACTGCTGGCATCTGCTGGCAAAGTATCAATGGAGCATGGAAGCTCTGGGGTCACGAAGTCGTAACCTGAGTTGGCGTTTGCACTGCAAAAACCAATGGGTACACTTCGGCAACTGATCTCACCCTGACGTGGCACAGATTGTGTCCGTTCAAACCAAAGCACATCTGGAGAACTATAGTCATTCAGCAACTTTAATCTTGATAATTTTTTTGGGGTCCTTGAATGTCTTTCATATACCAACCGATTATGAAGGGTGACGTCGGCAAGTGGGGGCGTTGATCATTGACCCAAGATGGCCCAAATATAGCCAACTTAGATCAAGTTAGACTCAGCAAAGCCCCAGGCACTACAATCTGCAGCAAGGACCAAATCAAAGGGTCGGTGGCATTGAACTTCTTCGTAAATGGGGGGTTGCAAGGGTTTCCCAAATGGATGGTCTATAATGGAAAATCCTATAAACATAAATAAAGATGGATGAGCAATGATAAGTGCATCTTTCGATTATATATTGACACCAGTTGATGCCACCGCCCACCATCAGTCACGCATTGTTTTCCGTTGGTGCCAGGGGCCTTTGTCATGCCATCCAATGCAGCAGATTGCTGCAGGTGACCAGCTATCTGCGCTGGTTCAACCACCAGGTGATAAAAACCGATGCAAAATTGAGGTGGACCCACCTCCAAACAACAAACCGTGTCTCCAAGAAAATTCAGTTTTCATTTTCTTGCACGACGCCAGTTGATGCCACCGCCCACCCTCAGTCATGCATTATTTTCCGTTGGTGCCAGCGGCCTTTGTCATGCCATCCAATGCTGCAGGTTGCTGCAGGTGACCAGCTATCTGCACTGGTTCAACCACCGCCACCTGCTTTGCTAGTTCCCACCTCCTCGCGACTTCGCGCAAAGCAGCTTCTGGCAGGTGATCTCGGCATCTGAGTTCACAAAGACAAAGTGGCTGCCGTAGAAAGACCACCCGCCAAGATACCGGTGGTGAAGCCACTGCATTGGCCAGGTTCCAGTGGATGACTTTTGAAGGGGGGCTCTGCACTCTCGCTGGCAGGCAGGTGGGGTTTTCCCGGCACAGTTTGGCCCAGGCTTCTGCTGCGTCCGACTTGTCCTCGTCATTCGCGGTCAACGCTTTCTTGAACTCGGAGATCTCCTGCCGCAAATTGGACTTCCATTTCTCCAGCTCGTCTATAGGTCCAGGCACTTCTCCTCAACCACCTGCGCTCCCGCTTCCTCTCGTAGGACAAGATGGCGTTTGACTTCCGCCTGCCCAGATGAGCTACAGTACTTGAGCCGCCAAGAGTGGCCTCGGCGCCAAACAGCAGCTGCCACGTCTTCACGATCTGTGATTTTGTAGCTGGTGACTTGTCCTTGAGCAGCGTCAAGCCGGAGCTGGTGCCGTTGAACTTTTCCACCTTGCCTAGCAAGTCCGCCGAGACTGAGAACGGACATTCAGGCAAACAGGTGTTGTTAGCGCACAGACACTGCATGGTGCGCTTCACTCCCTTTGCCCCGCGGTCCATCTTGCTAACCTTGATGTCCAGGGTGACCCGTTTGTTGATGTGGTCCAGCACCATGTCCTCCGTCGCCAAAGCCCTCTTGCACTGCTTGAAGGCCCTGTCCAGCTGTTCGGTCCAGGAGTTGCCCACCTCGATGTGCCAGAGTTTCGCCTCAATCAGGTACCCCTCGCCCGCAGAGTAGCCACCCTTCGAAAAGCTTCTGCACAAAAAACTTTTTTTCGAACTTTTTGGGGCTCATCTGGAGGGGGACGCAGTAGGTTCTACAAAATGCTTGTGCACGCGTGTATTACTACAAAATGCATTTTGTCATTCAGCAAAATGTTACTGCAAAATGATCGCGAGTCAAGAGCCAAAAATGGCCTGGGGGTCCGCATGCCATAAGTTGCTGTGACTCAGCATGACCCGCAAGAGCAGGCTTTAGGGTTTTTTGTATGACCCAAAGCATCCCAACATAAATCACTACAAAATGTAGTTCCGATTTTTCAGAGCTAAGTTCAAACAGTGAAAAGCCGCTACAAGAAGCAGCGCATGATCGCTGACTACAACATTCCAGGCACGACTTCATCTTTGGAAGTCAATTTATATCTCAAATGGGGGATGGTGCCCAGCACGTGTTCACCGTTTTAGTAGTGGAAATGGTGAGGGGGATCCAAAAGGTTGCTGGCTCGAAAAACCATCCCCACCTGGATCGCCTCCACCGCGGTGAACCGCCTGCCACTGTCCATTCGGCATTGAGCCGCCGCTTCGGCCACCATAGAGCTCCGCAAATTGGCCACGACTCGCAGATCGTTGCGGGCATCTCCAACTGCATGACAGAAAGACCCCCACACCGCCGCAGAGATGCCATAGAAGTCCAACACGCCGTCGACGTTGGTGACCCTTCCTGCCAGAGGACAAAAAAAGCGTTTGCAGTCCACCCGGGGCACTTACCGCCTGGCTGTGAATGATCCTAACAAACACTGCAAGCTCGATCCGGCCATGCTTCCTGCCAGAGGACAAAAAAAGCGTTTGCAGTCCACCCGGAGCACTTACTGCCTGGCTGTGAATGATCCTAACAAACAATGCAAGCTCGCTCCGGCCATGCTTCCTGCCAGAGGACAAAAAGAGCGTTTGCAGTCCACCCGGAGCACTTGCCGTCTGGCTGTGAATGATCCACGCTAACAAACAATGCAAGCTCGCTCCGGCCATGCTTCCTGCCAGAGGACAAAAAAAGTGATTTGCAGTCCACCCGGAGCACCACCGGTGGCCACATGACCCACCATGATGGAGAACCGATCCAAAATTGAGGTGGAGGCTTGAGCCAAAATGTCACAAGCCATCCACCTCCAAACAACAAACCGTGTCTCTCAGAAGATTCATTCTTCATTTTAAATTTTCTTGCACTACATTTATTTAAGGCAAACCCATTGAACCTACCAAGCCCACGTTGACTCAGTGCCTTCCAACGAACAAAATGCAATCAAAATTCATATTCTGACATCCGAATCACATGGAATAACAGCCCCGACAAGAGACAAGATTGGGGGTCCCCAAGCTAGCATAGGTAATTAACTGCTGGGTAGTGATTGCGAAAATGGATTACTTAAATCCCACCCACAAATCCACTAGTAAAACCAGGGTTTCTTACGGCGGCCTTTTGGATATTCCGTGAATTGCTGAGACACACACACAAATCAGGAAACCATCAAGAATAGCGGCAGAGTTGCCTCAAGTCTAATCATTTTAATGGAATAAAGGCCAAGGACACTAGGTGTGGTTGGTGCTTTGACCCGCCTTAAAAAACACTTGGGGCTCATCCCTGAAGCCACGCAGAAAAGAGTCCTCGCATTGCCGCGTACATGCCAACAGCACCGCAACCAGATCCAAGCTCCAGAACACTGCTCTGCTTCAGCAAGGAGTCCTCCATCGTGGACAAATAGGCCATCAACACCTGGAAAACCAATGCTGGGGAGTCATGTTGGAACCATAAAGCCAGCATGGATTTTGAAAAAACACAGGGAACCGCAGCATACTGATTAAGGTTTGAGCTAGAAAATTCAGGTTAAAACGCTACTTCCTTTGCCATATTCTGCCATCTTATCTTCTTTCCATCCTATTTAAAACATGCTGCAGAACATGCCTACGCAAAGTGGAAGTTCAGCTGGAATTACATCACTGGGGGTTTTGCCAGCTGCACCGAAGACCACCGAGCCGCAGGCCTTGGCTGCAGGCCAAAGACACCATGCACACCAAGCATCACCTGAGCAAAGAGCACCCTGTGTCATTTGCAAATCTGGCTGGTTGCTCCCCATACTGATGTACTGGGTCACAAGAACCCATCCCCGGGCCATCCCCAGAAATTTGCTAGAAGTCCACATGAAACCAAGGAGTCTAAGAGTCTAATCATGCAAACCCAAATTTGCCAGTCAATTCTGACTTTCTCAAATTTCCTGGTGACCCGAGGTGCACCTGGCGCATCGGTGGTGGGATCCTCAATGAGGGAGATCTTGATGTTTCGCTCGGTGTCCACCTGCGGACGGCAGGAAAGCCCCTCTTTTTAACAGGGTATGACAGATTTATGGGAAACTACGGGAACATCACAACAAAAATCAATCATAATGACTATGGGTTTATGATTTATTGAATCCATAATGAAAAATCTATAACGATTCTTGGGGACTGCAATTATAACTTCAAATTTGGGGCGGAAACGATGGGGAAACCTTGCCCAATTTTTCGCTCCAGGCCTCCAGCACTTTGGTCCAGAGGCGCGATTCCCGGGACATATCACGAACCAAGCTCTCCAATTTATCTGCATCAATTTTCAAGAACTTGAGAAGCTGTTGCATCAAAAATAAATAGAAACATATATAATATATAAAAAAACACGCATATGCATATATATATATACAATATGATACAATATGCATCTAATTTTATAGCTTCATAATCTTCATGCTCATCTAAAATGAGCCATCTCCTCCTCTTACAAAAAGCGTATGTGGATCTTAAGCAGCTTAATTAAGCAGGAATGGTAATCACCTATCCGCGTAAAGCTTCCCAGCGTTGTGAACTGTGGTACCTTGAGGTCGAGTCCTGATGGGTCAGGACTCATGGCTTGATGTGACTAAGTGCCTACCCCGGGCTATGACTCGTGGGCAGATATGGAAACACAACTGCTGAGCCATGGCCACATGATGGCACATCAATGAAATCATGTGCGGAAAAAGAGCTCTAAGTACACCATAGTCCCGTCAGCTGGGCAGGTTGAACTGAAACCTGATCACCTGCCTACTGTCATCTGCCTATCATCACCGGTAGTGGACTCGTGTTACACGAGCATCTTGCATCATCTTGCGATACGATGCGATATGCCTATCTGCCTATCTTTGAAGTTTGTACCTAACATTACCTAACTTGGAAGGCAAAAATACTGCCGAAATGCGTGATGGATCCTGTGCTATTGAATGTTCAAAGGCCCACCCCTCTGGATTCGCCAAATGATCACAGACTTGGAGGCACGCCAAAGTTGCACACAGCACACGCCCATACCATGTAGCTGTGTTTTTTGGGGCTCTGCCGATGGTCTTCGTCTGTGCGAAAGTCCGAGGTATTTGAGTAGTTTTACTACTCTCTCCCACTCTCTCTCTCTCTCTCACTCTCCACTCTCTCTCTCTCTCTCTCTGCGAATTAGATCTGAAGGAAAACATCACGTGACATCTCTGTCAGTCACATGATCCTAACGTTTGTTCGTTGACAAAACATCTGGGTATGGGTCAAAGCCCAAAGCAACTGATCATTTGTAGTATAAAACCATCCATCTTGGGGATTGATCATTTTGATCCATACCCACCAAAACCGGCAGCCTACAAGGCAGTCTTCAAATTTCTTACTGCTGCAAACGGCGTGCAAGGGCATCGAAGCCCGTCTGCCTCACATATGCTGGCAAGGTCTAAAATCAACACATCATAACACATCAGCAAATCTCCGAACAAATCACATCTCCCTACCAAACACGCCCTAAATGGTTCTCAACATGTGTAGTTCCCCTACCAAACCATGGTTTATGCGGGATGTTTAAGATTAGGATGGGATTACCACACACACACACATATATATATAAAATTAACTAGATAGACACAATTGAAACATGAAATCATGGCTAATCACGAAAGCTAGCGTCAGCTAGCTGGAGTCTTCTTGCTTTAGCAAGTATTCCGGGGGCTGCTCAAGGACATCACGTGATTTTTCACGCGAAAGGGGGGGACCCCCCCATCATCGTCATCATCATCATCATCGTCATCATCATCGTCATCATCATCGTCATCGTCATCGTCCTCGCCATCGTCCTCGTCATCGTCATCGTCATCATCATCATCATCATCATCATCATCATCATCATCATCATCATCATCATCATCATCATCATCCTCGTCCTTGTCCTCGTCATCGTCCTCGTCATCGTCATCGTCATCATCATCATCATCATCATCATCATCATCATCATCATCATCACCATCATCGTTAATCAATTACATTTTATCATTATTGGCAATTATTGGCATTATCACGAAAGCTAGCGTCAGCTCGCTAGAGTCTTCTTGCTTTAGCAAGTATTCCGGGGCTCCCCAAGGACATCACGTGCTTTTTCACGCGAAAGGGCCCCCCCTGCCCCTCCCCCATATATATCATTGTTATATATCATATATCATATATCATTGTTGCATCCTCGTTGGGACGAACAATGCCGCGACACGATGATGACAGTCCCTCCGCAACTCACCTCTTCCCTTCCTTCTTTCTCCTACCCTGCTAGCTTTCGTCATCCACCCCCGGCCTCAAGTCTTGGATACCAAATGATACCAAGTATATAAAAACAACCCGCCGGACCGGAAACCGTTCCCATAAAACGCACATTTTTTAAAAAAATGGTGATTTTTCCACAGTGCCGTGCTAATTTGATGATTGGAAATCCTGGAAAAACTTGGGGTGCGTTTTTTCGTTTTTCAGCGTCATCGCTGCAACGCATGCGTAGTAAACAGCTGGCAGTCAGCATTCTTGTGAATGCATCTCCATTGCCAAGCTCTCAGAGATCTCAGAGATCTCAGCAGCGTAGCAACATGTATGTAACGTAGTAAACGATCCCAGAGATCTCAGCAGCGTAGCGACATGTAACGTAGTAAACGATCCCAGAGATCTCAGCAGCGTAGCAACATGTAACGTAGTAAACGATACCAGAGATCTCAGCAGCGTAGCAACATGTATGTAACGTAGTAAACGATCCCAGAGATCTCAGCAGCGTAGCAACATGTAACGTAGTGAACGATACCAGAGATCTCAGCAGCGTAGCAACATGTAACGTAGTAAATAATCCCAGAGATCTTAGCAGCATGGAAATATATCATGTACGAAGTACAAGAAACGTTAACATGCCCCCCCACCCCACCCCGTGCACCCCACCCCACCCCACAATCGCGATATTCAAAAACGTGCGTTTTACGGGAACGGTTTTCGGTCCGCAGGCAAAAACAAGCATGTTTGGTTGGCTAATCAGTCTATGTTCCAATGTATGTATGGCAGGAAATGCCGTAGAATAACAAACGAGGTCGACCCAGAAATAATGAAATCAATTGAGAGGTGCTTTGAAGCTTGGGTGGCCCTGCAGAACAGAAACATGTACCCGCCGACCGGGTCTCATAAAATGGTACTGGGGCCGCCGCAAAGACTCAGGAATGGGGATCCGCCAGGGAGCATCAACCCTCCTACTTGATCTACATCTCTGTATCGTCTGCTCCCCGAGCCTTGCCAGATCAACTGCCGACAAGTTGTTCCGCGTCGTCAGCGTCGGGTCCGCACCTTGCAAGGGTCTCCTTGTCTATACTATGGGATACCATTAATGGTGGCTGCATAGCCCAACTGCAGCTCACCACATTAGACAACGAATCGCCCGTCTGCCTAAGAAGAGCTCTTGACATTTAATCAACAACCTAGACCACAGGAGGATTCAACGGGCACTGTGGGGCAAATCGACATCCTCCACGATCATCCATGGCACGGCTGCGCAAAAGCAGCTCCACGAAGGGCAGGGCACCTGTCCAAGACGGGCCAAGTGCCAAGGGCCAAGCACCTACCATTGGACCATAGCCAACTTGCGAGCTATCTATTATGAATATACATGTTTGAAGTATTTTCATGTGACATATGCACATTAAACTATCATAACATACATACATATATATATATATTGCATTATATTGCGTGTGCATGACATATAATTAATCGCCTTTCTATTTGAACAAATTTTACATCATTTCACTAATTATTGGGCTCACGTTATGGCTTGCATCCCTACATGGATCTCACATGATCTCACTGATCTCACCTTCGCAAGTTGGGGATGGCGTCCTGCCTTTGAGAACCGCCAGGTGCAAAGGGGTGCAGCCGTCTGGACGTGACCTGGGCACTGTGACTTCCCGCTGGTCAGACTGCAGTTACTGACCCTGCAGTGCCAGCAGGAAAAATCCCTTGTGCCCACCCCACAGGTCTCACACAGATTTGCGTCTGCAGAACCTTGGGCACTGGACAAAATCACAGCTGGACATCAGTGCACAGCTGGTGACTCAGTGACTTGCGGAAGAATTGGGTTCATTATGGGTCAAAATCATCACGTATCATCACGTCATCGCCTCCCGGGAATCCCAAAATGATCAAAAATGGGGTACCTGACCCCTACTCAAATTCCGGGGAGTCCGACAGTCAAACTGCCAAGCCCAGAACGTTCCAGCAAGACTGCAGCCTCGCCCTGCATGTTGTGAGTGACCTGAGCTGTCCATTCTGTTTAACTGGAAAGAAAGACATCGCACCCAGAGATTTTGAGCATTTCTAGGCATTTCCAGGCATGTTCAGCATTTGACCGCACCTAACCAATCCAATTTTGCGGGTATTCAATTGGCACTTTTGAATACTTTTGACCCATACCCATACCCTCGCTACTGCACTTGGTAGCTGTGCAGCATATCTTCCCAAACCAGTGGCTGGTATCCACCAACCGAGTTTAGTGAGTTCCACCCAAGGCTTCTGACAAACTTATCCTTCGGTAATCAAGCATGGCGGTGGGACATGCCTTTAATAAATGAAGCTTTAAAATGGGAAAATCAGGAACACATGGGGGAAAAAACCGTTAAAAAACTTTTTTTTCCGAATTTACCATTGCCAGGTTTGCTTACCAAAGGGTAGTCCCTATCTTGTTACGCATTGGTCCCAGGCATCCACACCGCGGAGTGGAGAGGCCGACTCCCATCAGGACTTGGGAGTCGATGAGATGTTTTGAGGGAACACACATCAGGAAACCATAGGAAACCATCAGGAAACCATAGGAAACCCTTGTTCTTATACATGATTTACTCTCAAATGCTCTGGGATGGGATGATTGCTTGGGGATAAGTTGGTCGTGCTGGAAGATTACATACAATATTGGCTGTAAATTCCCAAGCTATGCCACCAGTTGACATGAATCGTTGTGAGCCAAGTTATTGAGAAAACGGGGCATGCCTCTGAACTAGAGACCACTGCAAGCATCTACAGTAAAAACAATATCTCGTCTCTCTTTCTCTCTCTCATGTCATTCATTTCTGATCATTTATATCTTTGTCCGGGAAAGGGAAACTGGGAAAGCATTGATTTGGTGGGTCCTATCCCTTCCCTTGATGACAGTGGCCTTCCAAAAGCTGCTGGGAACCAGCTCTGAGTTGCAGGCCATGATGGGGCGTTGAGGTCAGCCTCTGAGGGCTGGGCGCTGGGACAGGTTTTTGGGCATGCCACAGGGTCCCGAAAGTTCGCTTGGAACATGGGTTCCCGAAGTTGATTCTACTGATGGACATGGCCCTTGTTGGGTTCCATGTCAAATTCACGTCCGCAATACTTTCCACAGGCACCCCCGCCTTGGCGTCGATGATTGCGCGAAGAGCGGTGGTTCGGTGAGGGGCCTAAGACGGGAAGCATTCCTAGTTCCTCTGAACTTTGCTGAGGATGATCTATGGAAACCTTGGGTTCCCGGCGTTTAGCCCGGGGCTGAGTATCAAAGCAAGAGGGGTGAGACCTGTTCTGCTCCGAACCTGCCAAGATCATAGAATGATCTGTTGAACGTCATCTCAGTCTGCAGATGGTGACACAAGATGAACCAAACACATGGCAGAAACTGCTCAAGTCAATCACGGCTGCGCAAGAGAAACAACCTTTCCAACATCAAGCTGCATGTAGATTCTCCTTTCCCGCGTCAAAGAACTCCCAAGGTTTTCAGGGCGCCAAATGAATAATTCCTTACCATTCCTTACCATTGCTCTTGTGTGGATAGGATTGATCAGGGGGAAGGGAATAGCATCTGATTCAACTTGACGCTGCCTGCGGGTCTGCTCGAGCTGCTGCCAGCAGGGCAACAACAGAGCCTTCACCTGGATTGGGAGGTTTGAACACATCCACAGTTTATGGCACTTTCCATACAACCCCAAACCTAGGCTATATGTATGAACGTACACACACACATATACATATAATTATATAACATATTTATTTGTTTGTTCGTTTTTGGAATTCACTAAAGATTCAATTTGGATCAATTTGGTGAAATGGGACAGTTGTGAGGTCCCCACCCTTGAGAACCTGACCTGAAAAGTGTCTTGAACTGCATATGTTACAACTGGGTGGGGCCACCGAGGCAAATTTCATATAACATTGACAGATGTTTTCTAGTTTATATGAATGGGAGTCCCTACCAAGGTTTTGGAAAAAAAACAGGGTGCCCAAATCCATGGCTTTTAGATAGGATAGGATAGAATAGGATAGGACTGTGACAGGACAGGACAAATAGATAGATATATGATATATGATATGTGATATATGATATATATATATACATATATATATAATATATATATATGTGTGTGTGTGTCCATATTTTCACATTTTCCCCGCCAAAGTTGCCATAAATTGGGCACGAACACACAACGCCCCCACCTGCCCGCGGCAAATAGGATGCCTGGACAGAGTCCGTTGGCAGTGCCAAGTTTTGAGAGTTGAAACCCGCTATAGTTTGGCGTTCATCATGACTACCCCCGCGGCAATCTAACCTGGCAATGTAATGTAGAATGCATGAAAGCATACGAAAGCCATGTTCAATAGGTATATATATAATTATATATATATATATATCATCTGTCACTCTCCCCCTCTCTCTCTCTCTCTTGAGATCTTTGTCATGTTTGTTTTCCATGGAGTATTTGATGCACACCTGGCCCAGATTGTCATCAACAATGGCCTCCCGCAACACTGCCACGTGAATGGCCTTCATGCCTCAGGTGTTGGAAGTCCGGCAATTACCAGCCTCTAGGCCCTCTAGGCTGTTGGATGGCAATGGATGGCCCCGGTACATCGAAAACTATCCTTGTTGCAAGAGCTCCAGCCGACCCAAGTGGCTTGTGGAGTCGTGGAGTCATGAGTCGCATGAGGCATCTAAATATATCTAAATATATCATCATGAATCATAATATATCTAAATCATCTAAGTGCAAGGCCATCTGCTCGTGTGTGCTCCAGTGAGGCTCGCAGTTCGATGAGGTACTTGCTCATTCGAGTGTATCTTGGGATCGGTGCTAGGACATCGGGAAACATGTCTACTTTATGGGGTCACAATGAAACCATGGCAACATATTGCTAAGCAACGGAGGTGTCATTACCAATCCATATGTTGACGAGGCCTGAGACCATGGGTTTGAAGACTTTTGCGATGATTTTGGGTGGCCCGAGTCTGAGAGCAATCATGAGCTATCTAATTATGTACTTGATATCGCCAAGGCAAAAAATACAAAGCACCAAATAAGAATGCAAGACAATTAAGGGTTAGTCCCACTTTTTGATATCTTAGAATGCTCTGAGAACATGAGAACATGGTGACACCACGCCATGTGATGCAAAATGGCCAACTGAGATCAACTGAGGCCTGTGACCCCTCCAAAATGGCCAACTGCAGCGGTGTTTGCTCATCACTGGCTCGTGCGGCCTGCAACGTCTTTTTCGGCCCATTTTTGTTTTGGTCAAGCCGCACGCCCAGCATGCCCAAGGCCAAGAAATGCCATGCCAAGAATCAAAGTGGAGAGAATGAGAGAATCACTGAATTCCATCGGCAACCATTTCCTTATGGTGGATACTGGAACCGAATCATCTCATATCATCACTACAAGATCTGGTATTGGTCCGCTATTGGTCCGGTATTGCTGGTATCACCGACGAGGGCCTCCAGTTGGGCCCGATGCTCCAGCAACAAACTCACACTCTCCTGTGATTTCAGCATATTCTCCAGTCGACCAACATGGCAATGGGACCCCCAAAAACTTACTGCCCAGGTCAGTGCCCCATGAACCTTAGTTCCAGATAGTTCCAGCCCGATGGAAATGTGGTAGAAGCCTCTACGGAACCCTTTGTTTTCGGTAAATATTATGTAAATATGGGTTTGGACTTGCCAAAATTCTTGTCCCGCTGTGCTCTGCTCAACCCTGGAAAGGTCGTATATGTATATTCACCAGTATTCAGTCAAAAGTTGCATTTTGCTGCCACCGCCCTCCTCCCAAATAGTCCCAAAGACTAGAACACATCGCTCCAACACTTTAAACGCCTTCCTTGAGGAGCCGATGATCTCTATGAATACTCTTCTGGTACCCAAATATGAAAATGGCACACAAGTACACCCAGGTATAGACTCATAGACATTGAACATGTAATTTCTGGATGAATTTCTTAGCAAAGGCTGGGTGTTATGGGCTGTACATTGCTATATTAGTTCATTGGAGGGTACACGTGTGAGAGTTTCCCGCTTCGGCCAATGGCCACAGTTCATCTGGCATCCTCGGACCCGGAGTGGATTGCTCGATGGAGTACAGTGTCCTGCAGCCACAGAGGATAGAAAACCACTGCGTCACAATAATTTTGAGTTGTAAGAACAGCAAGAGATTAAGTTGGCTGGTGGCTTCAATTCATGCCTTAAAATCTGATTTTTTCTTATATATACAGTGTTCGGTTTTAAGCTCGCATCAATGTGGGGTCTGTTTACCGTGGGCCCAAAGAGACCAACGTGCATCTTACTGGTGCAATATGAAACTCAACCAAAGCAACTGGTATGGCACCTCAATATCATTGCGGTCACTTGTTGGTGCATTTGCATCCAGCAGCAACCTGTCAAAGTTGAAGCCACTGAGCTATTCAGCTATCTGATCAACAAATGTGACTATGTGATGCTACGTGGGCCTCACCACGTCTGCATTGCCACCTCAGATGCAAACACGTCTAAGTCTATTTCACTGTCAAATTTTTGCCCTGGAGAATTGGCCAGCAGTGGTACGTTTTGCACTTCAAAAGAGCTTCATCCCAGCAACGCATGCTGAATCAAGTGTGGCAAACCGCCAGAGATTGGCTTTGGAAAGTCGTTCCCTCCCAGTTCTCATGAGGAGCAGGCTACTTGCACCTGTGTGCAGGGGTCCACAGCCTGGGTTGATAGCATAACCCAGGTGCTTTGAAAAATGCCGGTCGATATGCTGGTGGATGCTGGTGGGATCTAGTTTGGCAAATGGCTGCAACAGCATATATACATATACACTGTGTATATATATATATATACAACTGTATTATATATGTATGTATATGATTGTATATGGTATCAACAACTATATAACTCCTAAAGCAAGCTGATCAAACTGTCAATGCTGATTCCTTGTGGCTTTGCCACCTATCGTCCCCAGAAGCGTGGATCATGCATTTCTTGCCCCAGACTGGCCCAGACCTATTCCATCTATTCCGCATCAACTCAGCCAATTTGTCCTGTGAAACGCGTTTGGATCCCTGGTCATCAGCTGTCATTCTACCGTAGCGACCCTCTAGTTTCACACGGAAACTCGGGGCCCTATGAAGCACATAGCAGCTGACATCTGGCTGCTCTCTGTACATACCCCGGCAAGTTGAGGCACCAAACTGTACACATCAACACTTCCGACACGGATGGTTTTTGTTGATTTTTTTAGGGATCAATTGGACATGGGGTGGATTTTGTACGGTACATGACATGAACGTACAATGCATTTTTTCTTGTTACCTTTCCTGGGTTTTATTTTGGTTGACATCCTCAAGTATCTTCCAGGTTCTCCCCGAAGGGTCGTCACTCATCTTTGAGTCTCTGGACATCTCTGGACCCCAACCCGCAGATGTTACACCATTGGGTTCTAGGAGATCCTGGTTGCGAAGGGAATGCTTTCCCAACTCCTCAGCCTCAGCTTTTAGGTGCCTCAAAATGCAAATTCCGCTGCCTTGCAGCGACACACCATCACACACACTGCAACCATCTTCCCCATGGACGGCGTGATTGGTGTGGCCATTTTGTCTCAACATGTCTCAATCTGGGGCCTTTGGTGGATCCCTCCGTGACCATCAAACCATGTACCAACTGAACTCATCCCCGTGGCCGTGGCTCCCTCAGCCCTTCAGCATCCTGCATGGCCGTCCACTGCCATCATCAGCCGCTCCAAAGCCCTTCCGGCCGCTTCCTGCTCT